GGTGACGGTGGTGGCTGGGGCTCTGGTGGTGGCGGTGGACGGGGCGCTGTGAACCCGTGGAACGAGGGGGATGCTGGGTGGCGCGGGGCATCAACGGGGGCACGCACAAACCGGGGCCGCGGCAGCTTTCGCCGTGGACGTGGTGGCTCCATGGACGGTGTCTGGGGCCAGCCAAGCGCGGTAGATGAGGAGGCATGGTCTGCTGCCCCGCCTAGCTTTAACCCGCCTGTGCGGCGTGTAGACCCTCTTACCCTCACTGCTGTAGAAGTGGAGATTGACGGAATCAAAAAGTTGGTGGGACAGCGGGTGCAGGTCTCAGGGCTCTCCGACGACACTACCTGGCATACGCTGAAGGACCATTTGCGCCAGGCGGGTGAGGTGACGTTCTGCAAGGTGTTTTCGGGTGGGAGGGCGGTGGTAGAGTTTGTTACTCCAGATGATGCTGCCCGTGCCATTACAGAGCTACAAGCGTCGGAGTTAGAAGGGGCGACACTCTTCCTTCGAGAGGATAGGGAAGATACCGTTCTGGTGAACACGCGGAAAAAAATACGGGAGGCTCGAGATGCTCAGCTTCGTGCACGCAAAGAAGAAGCAGAGCAGCGACGACGAGAACAGGCGTTAGCAGAGGGCGATGCGCCTTCAGTTGGGCTTGCTGCGAAAGCAAATGCAAAGGTAGACCCAGCGACTACTGCAAACCAGCAGGCTTAGCTGACGGCGTTCGTAGTATTAGTAGAAAACTTCAACCGGACACGCACACGAACACGCACGGAAGAAAGCAAAAGGGCGGATTGTCGAGAAGCAACAAGGAATGGAATATCCCTCTCCTTGTCCCTGTCCCTGATGCTTGGCGATGAAACGGCCCGCACTTGGGACCCGTTTTAAAGGCATTACAGACTACCGTTAATTCACACTGAGAGTAAGAGAGAAAGAAGGAAATATGAGGAATGAACGCCAACATGACCAGACACTTCCTCCACGGTTCACTCTTGCATGGGCGACGGCGGCGCTCTGACTGTTCTCTTTTTATCCCTCTTCTCCGGTGTTTCCCTTTTGCTTTATTTACTTTCTTGCACAATTACAGACACCGGCTTGCTGGTGTTGCAGTGTTAGACTTGCCGGTGAAATGGAAAGTTCGACTGCAATACGCGTCCAATTTTCCCTCGCTGACGCGGCTGTGAAACGGCTAATTGTTTGCCTTAGTTGTGGAGATCGCCGAGGAGACGGCGCTCGTGGGGCGTTGGGAAGCCGCGTCGCGCAACAACTACTTGACACCTGTGCTCCATCTCCAAGCGACATACACAATCCTGACACAAATCGCCTCCACGCACGGGATGCATCTGGCCGGGCCCGCCAGCAATGCAGTTGGCGCCGACGTGAACAATTCTTTAAGGGCGCTAAAGGAGCTGGCCCTGCTTGGCGTCATGGAGGCACGAGAAATGCACAGACGTGGGATTCTGAGCGTGTGGTGGACTACATGGGTGTTTGGTGTGATCGACTTCTTCTTGGCGAACACACAAACCCGTCACGGTGTGCATTGCTGGAGCCACGCGTCCCGCCCATTATGCTAGCGGAGTCACTGGAGCGCGTCCTCCAGGCACTTCGCGGATTCAGAGCCGCCGACGTGCTGTTCGTCTTTGCCAGCTGCTGCGCCCCCTTTGGGGCGATGCGGCTTGTTCCTTTTAGCGATGAATTGGTGACTTTTCCCCTCGGAGGCCCTGCGGCGTACCGCCATGACTCCCTTGGCGCGGTGCTTCAGCGCCTAGCAGGGCCGCCTGCTGCAGCGTCAGCGCTGCTGCTGGGGATTGGGGCTGAAAATGGCCCGCTGGCCCCTCTGGCAGCGGAAGAGAGTGCGGCTGTAAGCAGCCGCATCGTACCACTTGCTGGCTTTACTAGCGCACTGTGGACAGTGAATCCTGCCAAGGCGTCGGAGTACCTTGAGAGCAACCCTAAGGACAACGTCCGGCTGTGGCGTACGATGCAGATGTCTATGCTGTCTACTCGGGATACAGCCTTGCTGCGTGCGTATGAGAGTGGTCGACCGCTCGACGCTCGTATGAGCCAGCAGCATACAAAATATCTTGCAGAAACGCTGTTGTCACGTCTTTTTCCCGACCACGGTGAGAATTGAAGTGCGTGGTTGTAGCCCCACATGTTTGCCTCGCTTGTGTTGGGGCTGAAACGAAAGAAGAAAGAAAGGCAAACAAAAATATGGGGTTCCTTCCCATTTCGCCCTGCTGTAGGTGAAGGAATTGATTCTTTTTTTCTTCAACCGTCTCTAATTATTTTGTCTTTGGGGGCTTCTTAGAATCGTTATAGAAACAATTAAGCATTATTATTTCTACTCACACTTTGAAGGAGAAAAAAACCAACGCAAAATGACGAAAGCCATGAAACTTTTCAGTAATAAAAGTTGCCCGTACTGCCAGCGGGCAATGATCATGGTAAAAGAAAAGGGGGTAGCGTTGCAGGTGGAGGAGATTCCGCTCGGTGATGCGATGCCACAGTGGTACAAGGAGGTAAATCCACGTGAAACAGTGCCAACGCTACAGGTGGGTGAGAAGAAGTACGTTTTCGAGTCAGACCTCATCGCCAGGTATCTTGACAGTGTAAGTTCTCCCACAAACAGCCTTGTTGGATCTACACCCTACAACCGCCACCGTATTGAGTTCTTCCTGAGCCAGGTGAGTGACCTCATCCAGGCGTACTTTGCCCTGGTTCGTGACCCCTTCAACGCGGAGAAGCGAAAGGCGGTGGATGACAACAGCGAGTTCATTGAGGGTATCATCGCGGAGCATCAGGGGAGCGGCCCGTACTTCCTTGATGACACATTCTCCCTGGCGGATATCATGGTTCTCCCTTTCCTCATCCGCTTCCGTGCGGTTCTGGGATACTACGCCGCCTACGACATCTTCAAAAAGGCTCCTCGCTTGAAGAAAATGTACCTTGCTGCGATGGAGCGGCCTTCTGTGAAGGAATCGACATTGAAGCCTGAAGAGTACATTGGATTTTTTAAAAAGTATGTGCCAGTATCTCACGTTACGCATTCCATGGCCCCATCCAATGTGCTCTTTGTAAGCATGCTGTGCCCCTTCGCAGATCGTGCCCGATTGTCGTGTGCGATCAAGAAGGTCGATATTCCGCTTGTGGAGCTCGATCTGCGACAAATGCCAGTTTGGTACCCATGGGTCAACTACCTCGAGACTGTTCCCACCCTGCTCACATCGAAGGGCACCTATGTCTACGAATCCCAGCCCATTGTCCATTATATCGACGACGAATTCTCGCAGCACGGCCCCGCACTTCTTCCTAAGGATGCGGATGAGTTGTACTTCGTGAGGTTTGTGGAGTCAAACGCTGGTCACTTCGTTGGAGCCATGTTTGGTATCATGCGTAACCCACAAAACAAAGAGACCAAAGAAGAACTTGAATGGGCGGCTGGTGAACTAGAGAAACAGCTGGCGGAGCACCGGTTTGGTGCAGGACCGTTCTTTGGTGGTGCCACCATGAACGCTGCTGATGTTTGTCTTCTCCCCATGCTGGTGCGCCTTAAGGCGTGCACGCCGGGGCTAACTGATGGCTACAATTTGTTCGCCAAGTTCAAGTTGTTGGAGGCACTCCTGGAGGCAGGCATGGCGACGGAGGCTGGAAAGAAGGTTTTCCAGCCGTTGACGAACTACCTGCAGGCTTACACGGCGAAGTTCCGTTCCTCTTCGTAATGCCATCAGCGACGACTACAACAACAACAACAACGGCAGCCGGTATATAGCAAAATTGGGAGGACCTGGGGAAAAAAACGTTGTGTCCCCCTTCTTGTTTTATCCATGGTAGGAATCAGGAGCCTGTGTGACTGTGTTTGTTTGTCTCCATACGCAGGGAAAATAAAAGAAAATCAAAAGCGAAGTGATCGAGCCAGAACAAGAAAAGAATATTAACTGTTGTGGGGTTATATGGGCAAAATGATGTGCCTCATAACAGCAAAGGCCGAAGGTGGGATTGCTGTTGAACAAGGAACGTTAGTTGCCATCAAAGGCCATGTTTGGGACCGGCGGGCAGTAGATGGAACAGGGGGGCTGGGTAACGGTTATTTTCTTTTCCATTTTCGTAATTTCCAAAAAAAAACACATGAAATAAAGCTGGCTCTTGAGTGAAGGGGGGGGACATCTGTATTGAATATACACTGTTTGCTCGCTATGCTTTCTCCCCAATCTTTCTAATCCTTTTTTAATTATCATCAGTGCTGATGAATGTATGACTTGTTGACTAACGCACTCATCGCAGATACACCGGTTGAAGCATTTGCCGCAGCACTTCTGCATCAACGCAAGAGAGATGGCTGGTGCCACAGCACTGTTAGTGCATTGGATGGAGAAGGAGTGGTGATTGCAGGCATTGTGCTGCAGTTACCGTCTTCCAGTGGCAGCGGTGAGGACAAAAGTAAGTATATGTGCGTTTCACTGGGCAGCGGGACTCGGTGTGTTGGCTACGAGCAGCCCACGGTTCCTCTCGAGACCAACCTTCTGCTTCGAGATGGACATGCCGAGGTGATGGCTCGGCGTGGGTTTGTGGCATTTCTCTTGGACGCAGCAGACTATCTCGCACAGGACAAATCCCGAGAGCACCTTTTCGTGGAACGCCGTTTCTTTAGTCGTCGTGTGTCGGCTGAATTCACCTCTGAGGACGGGTTGTGGTGCTGCTTTCGACTGCGGGCTGGTGTGACTGTTCACCTGGTGTGCACTGAATATCCTTGTGGAGCGATGTCAATTCCGCGGGGAGGGGGACATGTGCTTCTACGCACTCCCGGAGGTCATTCACTCATGGGTACGCCTGTTGTTGCTGTTGCTGCTGCCACTGCTGCTAATGGTGGTGATTTTGATGATAGCGCTGGCTGTGCTGTGCTGTGCCACGGCCACGTCATTGCTGCCCACCGCAGCCACCCCGCAGATGGTCTGCTGCTGGTTGGGCGTGTAAAGCCGGGGAAGGGACGCCAAAACCTCTCCATGTCTTGCTCCGATAAGTTGCTGAGATGGCATTGCTTAGGTCTTCAAGGCAGGCGACGGACGCGGTTGTTTCCGGAGCGCATTCGCCTCGCATGTGTGTGGCTTCCAGATATGATATGTGATGTGGATCGTTCTGGGTCAATTGAGCTTTCGTCGTCGCTAGAAACCGCGAGTAAAGCGTTGAATGACCGCAGGCACCACTTCTGTCCAGCAGTGTCTCTTGCAAGTAGAGATAGCCCCTCAAACGAAACGAAGGGCGTGCTTCCTCAGGTGCCAATCCCTCCCGTTGATATTTCTGGCTTCACACCCTCGTCCCTCCGCGCTCTCCTTGGCTCTGCTGAACGTGAAGATGCTGTGGGCGACGACAGCAACATGAGGGCCAACTGCTGCTGGTCGCGGAGTGCCTGGGTCACGATGGTAATGAGACAGCGAACTGATCATACTTCTGCGGTTGGTACGAAAAGGCAGAGAGTGGATGACACTGACGAAGACGGGTGGCATTTTCTCAGTTGGGAGGAGAGCAACGCCGCTGTGTTGAACACCAAAGCTGGATTGCCCCGCGGCGTCACGAGACAATGCATGACACGCATTCTTCAAGAGTTGTCAAAACGGCAGCCGTGTTTCTTGGGAGGAGGAAAACCAAAGGTCATGACGGATGCAATGGAAGAGGCGATGGTGGGGCGATTTCCACTCTCACGGGCATGGATGGCATGTCGGCAGCAGAGAGTCATGCACAACATCACGCAACACCAACAAGATGCCGGCACAAAGACGCCCGCATTGGCGGAATGCCGGCCTGATAACAAAGNTGGTGAGGGCGTTGTCCCTTCGTTGTCTGTGCCGGTGATCCTTGTTCCTGTTGGGGAACTAGAAGGCCATGAGGCTGTTGTGGCTGGGGGCTCCGCACACTACTGGCTGCAGCAAGCGCGCATGTGCAGCGAGACCACGGCTGGAGCGCCGCGGGATGGCGAGGACGCGCGGAGCTTTCCCCTGCTCTGGGTGGAGAAGGGAACGTCCGTCTGACGGCGAACGAAAAATGATTCAAGTGGTTGTGTGCATAATCGGGTGAGAGGGGAACTCGGCCTGTGCGCGAGCGTGCGCTTCGCAGTTCTGAGTGTGACGGGTTTTGTCTGGGTTTCAGCTTCTTTTCCTAATCTCTTTCTTTCTCTCTTTTTTCGGGTCTTCGCTTGGCTTTTCTTTACCTCTCTCCATGCTGCTCGTTTGTTGACGCGCAGGAACATCGAAGGAAGATCCCCTTACTAAAAAAATCCCCAACCCATCAAAACAAAAAAAAATGATTCCTCAAGATCGAAATCCACAAAGTGGCCAAGTGGAGATCATGTCTCCGTCCAGTTCCGTTATCGTTTCGGCTGTTGTGCCTGGAACTCCGAGTCTATGCAATACAAACATTCGGTCCTCAGTGCCGCCTGGCGTAGGACTGCAGACGCCTCGGAAGCAGCAGGAAGGCTCCTTGTCGCCGCAGGTCTTCGGCCTCACTCTCAGTGGCATCTCCGAGGCGACGACGCTCTCGCCGCGGTGGGGCGTAACACAGCCGCCCAGCCCCATCATGCTTGGCAATGGCAGTGGTACTAACGGGAAGCCCACCGCCAGCGACGGCAGGGACAGCAAAGTACACGGCAAACTCTCCTGCAGCAAGATCCCGTTGGAGGCCCCTGTGATAAGCTGGACCGCACAGGTGGCGTTGGGCCAGGCCCCGTCAAACGGTGTTGGCTTCGCCCCCTTGGACGCTGTGCGTTGCGCTGAGCATCACAAGGAACGAACTGTCCAGAATATGATTCGCATTGTGGGCAAGTCAGGTGAATTAATGTGGATTTGTCGTCCTGATGCGCCGTGCAAGGTGCGGAAAGGTGCACGCTTCGCACATAACGCCGTGCAGCACCGGCGCCCGCTCGCCAACGAGCTCGCTGGCGTTGCCCCTAACATACAGGAGCAAAACGTTGTATTCGCAACGCCCTGGACCAACGACGCTGGCACGAATCCGGGCCGAACGACAGAGTACAACTTGGACGGCGGTAATGCTTTTTTCGCGGCACCATTGACCTTTGCTCAGAGTCCCGCATTTGCTGCGCTCTCGCAGGCGTCGCCGGCGAACTTGGGCACTGTGTTCTGGTTGTCGGTGCCCCAGTCGCCTTATTGCGCTGCCACTGCTGCTGATGCGGGAATGCCGGTACCCGGTATTCTCCCACACCTGGCGACAGAATCCAAGTTTGCCTGGCTGCCCCTACGCGCTCCAAACTAAATGGTGGAGTGTGCTTCTGATGTACCAATTAATTACGAAGAGAACCAAAAACAAAAAGAAGGCGGAACAAGGCTATGATGAGAAGGGTGTGAACGTGATAATGCGAAAACACAATAAGACGACAAAAAAAAAGAAAAGAAATATATCATGTATAAAGAAATACCATAATATGGTTGCCTGGTATGGGTAAAAGAATGCGAAAACAGGTGTTGCCTCTCTTCTATTCCACATCCCTGCTTTCCCCTTCCTCCCCCCGCCCTCCTCCTGCACATCTCTTCCCCCCCGTTGAATGACTGCTGCATTCACTCGGCTGAGGCGAGGAAGGTGATGCTAACTATGCTTTCTATGATGGTTGTGATATGGATGTTGATTACGATGATGCTGACGCTCTTTTCAACTCAGATGGTGACACGGCGTGGTGAAAGCACAACCCTTTTGCAACAACCCGCTTCATTTATCTATCTATCTATCTACACATTTCATCGATGTTTTTTTTTTGTTTTCGCGCTGCTTTTCTACCTTTATGCGTACATGTATGAAACTATATATATATATATATATAT